TTGGGGGGGGGTGTGGTGGTGAGGGAACAAGGGAGCGCTGCGAAACACCGGGAATGAGACCAGGGATTGCTGGAAAAGACTGGGGACGGGATCAGGGAGCGCTGGGAGCCCCAAGCCTCCCCATAGCAGTAGCCGGGGAGCCCATAACTCCCCACTGCAGTGACTGGGGAGCCCATAACTGCTCCATAGCAGGGGCTGGGGAACCCATAACCCCTCACTGCAGTGACTGGGAGAGCCCATAACCCCCCCATAGCAGTGACTGGGAATCCCGGGTGACCCACAAGCCCCACCAGAATCTCTCCACGCAGCTCCAAATCTGAGGTGTTTAATGCTGCAGCAGCAGCCGCCTCCACCCCCCCCCCCTTTCCCACCCCAAATGAAGCCCCCCTGGGGGGGGCAGAAGCGGCGGGGCCAGTCCATGGTGGCATCAAAGTCCTGGTTGCCATTGGGGCAGCTCCAGTGGCCCCGGGCCCGGGGTGGGGCGTTTGGAGCTAGAAAAGGCTTCGGGCCCTGCAGAAAGAGCATTTCTAACGCCCAGTGGGCGCTATTTGACCAACGGCCGTGTTTTGTCGTCGTCGCTGCACTGATGCGCTTTGTACTTCTTCACCTCGGCCATGTACTTGGCCCACGCGTCCCCTTTACTCGTCAGCACCTACAGCAGCACAGGGAGACATAGGGGCGCTTGAGGAGCACCTCCCAATGCACCCCTTCCCTGGCTCCCCAATACCCACCTCAGCATCCCCAGTGTTCCCATTGCAGTACTCACACTATCCCCGGTTTACCTCAGTGTGCACTCCCTGTGTCCCCAACAGCAGTCCCAGTGTTCCCGGTTTCCTCCAGTGCTCCCTGTGTCCTCAACACCCCCTCCCTGCATCCCTTCCACCCCATCCCAGTGCCTCCCGTGTCCCCAGTTTACCCCAGCACTCCCTCCCAGTGCTGCCATTGTCCAGCTGAGTGTGTGTCCCCCAGCACGGGGCCCTCACCTCCTCGTCCGTCCTTTGCTTCTTGGCCACCACTCCTGTCTTCAGGGCCAGTTTGTTCCCCCCTCGCCGCCTGCCCACCTAAGGGGGGGAAGGGACACAACTGCCTCCGTTACCCACGGCCCCGGGGCCAGGAGGGACGGGCAGCCCGGCTGTCCGCAGCGGGGACCCCCCGTCCCTGCCTGCTTTGGGGATGACGTTCCCTTAGGGAGCGAGCAGCGCCGGTACCACGGGGGAGTCCCCGGTACGTGCCCCCCAGCTCCATGAACGCAGATGCCCGCTGGGAGGCGCTGGCGGTAACAGCGGGGCCCGCACTCGCGTCTGGGGACCCCCACCCCCGCAGCACAGAGCCGCTGGCGGGGGACAGCGGCCGCCGCCACCCCCGGAGCCGGCCCGAAGGGACCCCCGCGAACCCGCCGCAAGGAGCGGGTGGGCCGGGAGGAGACGCGGGTCCCGCGTCCTTACGAAGCTGAGGGCGCCGCCGCTCCTCTTCGAGCCGTCTGGCGGGCGGGGCCCGGCGCCACCGGCTGTTTCCGCCATCGCTGCCGCCGCCGCCTCCCGTTCCCGCTCCGCCTCCATCTTGCGCTTGAAGAGCTCCAGGAAGCTGCCGTCGTTGGCGAAGACGTTGACCCCGCCGCCGGGCCCGGGAGGCGGGGACGGGGCCTCCGGGGCCTCCCCGTCCTCACCGTGCGCCTCCATCTTGTCCGCCGCGATCGCCGCGCCGCTGGGCACGCCGGGAAGCGCGCGGCGCCGCCGGATGACAGCGCGGCGTTGCCGGGCAACGCGCCGCTTTTGCCCTCGCCCCTTAGGTCCCGGTGACCAATCCGGTGCAAAGGGGTGGGGCAGACCGGAGGGGTGGCAACCAATGAGGATGCGAGAGGGCCGCCTGGTGGCGCGGGGGAAGATGGCGACGGCGGCGGCGGCGGCAGCGGCCGGCGGCGGGTGGGGACCGGAGGCGGAGGAGTTCGAGGACGCGCCCGACGTGGAGCCGCTGGAGCCGACGTTGGCGAATGTCATCGAGCAGCGGAGCCTCAAGTGGATCTTCGTGGGCGGGAAGGGCGGCGTGGGCAAAACCACCTGCAGGTGCGGGGTTACTGGGACGGGCCCCGGAGGCGGGGAACCGGGATGGGCTTGGGGTGGATCGGAACCGCGGCGGGAACCGTGGTCTCGGGGAAGGGATCTGGAGCGGCCCCGGGGGGTGGGGGGACACACCGGGATGGGCTGGGGAGTGCGGGCCGGGCCGGGGGAGGATCAGGTTAGGGATCAGGCCAGGCTGGGAGGGACCGGGACGGGCTGGGGATAGGGGGCATCGGGATCAGAATGGCCTAATGGGGGATCGGGACCCGGAGGGGGATTGCGATGGGCTGGGGGGGAATCGGGATCGGGATCAGGATAGGTGGGGTGGGGAGCGGGACAGGCTGGGAGAGGGTCGGCCCCGGGGGTGTTCGGCCACAGCTGACGCCCCCACAAAATCGGCCCTCCATAGAGGGGGATGTTGGGCTCAGGGCTCTCAGGGCAGAAGGGACGCGGTTGGATCCTCCTGGGAGAAGCCTGGGGCCACCCCCTGTGTTTGTGTGTGTGTGTGAGGGGGGTAGGAGCACCCCGGCTGTCACCGCTGTCCCCCCAGCTGCAGCCTGGCCGTGCAGCTTTCCAAGGTGCGGGAGAGCGTCCTCATCATCTCCACTGACCCTGCCCACAACATCTCTGATGCCTTCGACCAGAAGTTCTCCAAGGTCCCCACCAAAGTGAAGGGCTATGACAACCTCTTTGCCATGGTGAGCCCGGCATTCCCAGCGTTCTCGGTGCTGTTCCTCCGCCACATTCCCCCTTTCTCACTCCCCAAGTCCTCTGCAGGAGATCGACCCCAGCCTGGGGGTGGCGGAGCTGCCCGATGAGTTCTTCGAGGAGGACAACATGCTGAGCATGGGCAAGAAGATGATGCAGGAGGCCATGAGTGCCTTCCCTGGCATCGATGAGGCCATGAGCTATGCTGAGGTGATGAGGTGAGCGCTTGGGGAGGGGTGCTGGAAGAGAGCCAAGGGGGGCATGTGGCCCCACTGAGTGTACCCCCTCGTGCTGAGGCAGGTTGGTGAAAGGGATGAACTTCTCTGTGGTGGTATTTGACACGGCGCCCACTGGCCACACGCTGCGGCTGCTCAACTTCCCCACCATCGTGGAGCGTGGCTTGGGCCGGCTCATGCAGATCAAGAACCAGATCAGCCCTTTCATCTCCCAGGTGAGAGGGGCAACCACAGCGTGGGGGGCAGACACCTCGGAGGGGTTGGAGCTTCACTGCTGTGTTCTTCAGATGTGTAACATGTTGGGCTTGGGGGACATGAACGCCGACCAACTGGCCTCTAAGCTGGAGGAGACACTGCCCGTCATCCGCTCCGTCAGTGAGCAGTTCAAGGACCCTGTGAGGCCACCAACAAGGACGTGGGGACACTGGGAAGCTAAAGAGGGGAATGGGGGATCATGGGGACACAGATGCTAATGAGGGAAATGGGGACCATGGGGACACTGGGATGCTAGAGGGGAAAGGGGACTATGGGGTATGAGGGTGGAATCTGGGGCTTTGGGGTGGAATCTGGGGCCACGGGGACACTGGGAGAGGACCTGGGGATGCCAAAGAGGGGAGTGGGGACCATGTGGATGTTGCTAAACTGGTCTGGGTGCATTCCTGCAGGGAATAGTCCCCCGGAGGGGAGATTGTTGCTGGGTTGTGTCCCCATGTCCAGATGTCCCCCTGAGGGTGCTTTTTGGGGGGGGTTGGCAGGAGCAGACGACTTTCATCTGCGTGTGCATCGCCGAGTTCCTGTCGCTCTACGAGACGGAGCGGCTCATCCAGGAGCTGGCCAAGTGTCGCATTGACACCCACAACATCGTGGTGAACCAGCTCGTGTTCCCCGACCCCCAGCGACCCTGCAAGATGTGCGAGGCTCGGCACAAGATCCAGGCCAAGTACCTCGACCAGGTACCCCCTGGCCTGGGGGGGCCATGGGGCTGGGGGGAGTGGCTTGGGGGAGACTGGGAGGGGTTTTGGGGCAGCCCCGGGTGAACCTGGAGCCTCTGGGGGTCTGAGAGAGGGTTTGAGGATGGAATTTGGGGTTTGGGATGCTGTACGGTTCCCTGGGGGTGCTATGTAGGTTCAGGGGATGTCCCCATAGCCCAGCCCCTCTCCCTACCCGTAGATGGAGGACCTCTACGAGGACTTCCACATCGTGAAACTGCCACTGCTGCCGCATGAGGTGCGAGGGGCCGACAAAGTCAACACCTTCTCCTGCCTCCTGCTGGACCCCTACCAGCCCCCTAGCCCCAAATAAACCCCCGGGGGGACCGGGGGGGGGCACCCCATATTTATCCCCCCCCCCAATCCATGTGTCCCCAGGGCTGGGGAAGGGGCCACAAAGGACCACCCTTCTCCCCCGGGCTTGTGTAAATAATAAACTCTGGCAGCAGTGGAGCCGCTTTCGTGTGGCTGTTTGGTGGGGGGGGTCCAACACGGTATGTGGGGGGTGACGTTAACACCGGTTGGCCCTGGGCCTGGTGGGACATGGGGGACCTTCATTAGTGCTTGGGGTGGATTAACTGGGCCGCAATGGGGTGGAGGGGGCTCTGCGCTCTCCCCGTGTCCTGCTGTGATCTGTCCCTGTGACCCCACTGCTGGCACAAGGGCTTGGGGACAGAGCCAGGGCTGGCGCCCAAGGCCACCAACATGCCCCTGTGGGGAAGGGGCTGGGCTCAAAGCACCCAGACAGCCCTCCCCTTGGGGGCACGTGTGTCCCCATCCCCTCTCCCCCCCGCCCCTGCCCAGGGCAGGGCCAGCCCCAGGATGGTATTTAAGGCCCCAGGACAGGGCCTGTGGCCCCAGAGCAGTGGTGGCCGCCCCCGTGCAGCTCTTGCTGAGGTGAGTGGGGGGATTTGGGGGGCTGGGGGTGGCCACTGGGCGTCACTTTAGTGTCCTCATGGTGTGCTCTGATGTCCCCGTGCCTCGTGTCCCCTGGGTATCGCTTCAGTGTCCCCACAGCGTTCGGGTGTCCCTAGACCTGCCATGACGGTGACATACACGTCACGCGTGGCCACCACACGCTTCGGAGGCTTCTCGCGGCTGCTGCTGCTCTGGCGTGGGAGCATCTACAAACTGCTCTACCGGGAGCTGCTGCTCTTCCTCACCGCCTACCTGGTGCTCAGCCTGGCCTACCGGTGCCTATGGACATGGGGGGATATGGCAGCATATGGGGAGGACATGGGGGGATATGGGGACACACAGGATGCAGGGGGAGATGGGGGACATAGGAATGGGGACATATGGGGGAACACAGTGTGGAGAGGGACACATGGGGTGCAGGGGGACACACAGGGGTGGGGGCCGCTGCTGACCCCCACCCATGGCCCAGGTTCCTGCTGTCGGAAGCACAGAAGAGGCTCTTTGAGAAGCTTGTGCTTTACTGTGACAAATCAGCCAACCTCATCCCCGTGTCCTTCGTGCTGGGTGAGACCCCAATACTCCCAGTACTGTTCCCAGTGTCCCCAGCATCCCCTCCCAGTGTCCCCAACAGCCCTCCCAGTGTCCCCAGCAGTGGTCCCAGTGCTCCGAGTGGTCCCAGTATCCCCATTACCTCCTCCCAGTGGCCCCAGTTTCAGACAGCACCCCTTTCCAATGCCCCCAGTTTTCCCCAGTGCTCCCTCTCCCCGCTCCCAGTGTCCCCAACACTGCCCCAGTGCCCCCAGTTTCACCCCTTTCCAATGCCCCCAGCCCCCCCTTCCAGCGCTCCCAGTGTCCTCAACACCACCCTAGTGCCCCCAGTTTCACCCCTTTTCAATGCCCCCAGTGCTCCCAGTTTTCCCCAGTGCCCCCTCTCCCAGTGTCCCCAACACCACCCCAGGGCCTCCAGTTTCACCCCTTTTCATGCCCCCAATGCTCCCAGTTTTCCCCAGTGCCCCTTCTCCCAGTGTCCCCAACACCACCCCGGTGGCCCCAGTTTCACCCCTTTCCAATGCCGAGTGCCCCCTGTTTTCCCCAGTGCCCCCTCTCAGTGCCCCCAACACAACCCCAGTGCCCCCAGTTTCCCCTCCCAGCGCTCCCAGTGTCCCCAACACAGCCCCAGTGCCCCCAGTTTCACCCCTTTCCAATGCCCCCAGTGCCCCCTCCCAGCGTTCCCAGTGTCCCCAACACAGCCCCAGTGCCCCCAGTTTCACCCCTTTCCAATGCCCCCAGTGCCCCCTCCCAGCGTTCCCAGTGTCCCCAACACTGCCCCAGTGCCCCCAGTTTCACCCCTTTCCAATGCTCCCAGTTTTCCCCAGTGCCCCCTCCCAGCGCTCCCAGTGTCCCCAACACTGCCACAGTTCGGCCTGTTTCACCCCTTTCCAATGCTCCCAGTTTTCCCCAGTGCCCCCTCCCAGCGCTCCCAGTGTCCCCAACACCGCCCCAGTGCCCCCAGTTTCACCCCTTCCCAATGCCCCCAGGCCCCCTCCCAGCGCTCCCCGTGCCCCTGTTGCCCCCCCTCCCCATCGCCCCACGCTGCCCCCGCAGGCTTCTACGTGGCGCTGGTGCTGGAGCGCTGGTGGGGGCAGTTCCGCGCCGTGCCCGCTCCCGACGGGCTGATGCTGGCGGTGGCCGGGAGCGTGCACGGCGCGGACGCGCGCGGGCGGCTGCTGCGCCGGACGCTGCTGCGCTACGGGAGCCTGGCGGCGCTGCTCGTGCTGCGCGCCGTCAGTTCCGCGGCACGCAAGCGCTTTCCCACCGCCGACCACCTCGTGCAGGCGGGTGCGCGCTTGATGTCGTGGGGGCGGCGTGACGTCAGGGAGGGGGGAGTCGACCCTCTATGGGTCAGGGGCATGGAATCGGGGGAATGGCACCGAGGGGTTGACAGCGGGGGATGGCACCTGGGACGATGTTATGGGGCAGAGCGATGTTATGGGGTAGGGGCACGGCACTGGGGATAGCACCTGGGGGCCGGTACCGGATGGAGTTTTCCTCCATCTCTTTGTCCCTCCTTCTGGCTTCGTGTCTCTCCATGTCCCTTATGTCCAGGGAAAGAGCTGCAGACACTGGGAACGCTGGAAATACTGGGGGAAGGTGCTGGGGACGCTGTGGGGACAGTGGGATGGGAGTGTCCTCATGGCAGTGACATCACCGTGGGGGTAGTGATGTCATCGTATGTGTGTGTGTGTGTGACGTGAACACGTGGACGTCACCCGGCTGGCTTCCGAGCTTCCCCTGCCCCAATGTGGGGGCACCGTGATGTCAGTGGGCAGTGACGTCACGGGTACGGGGAGTGACGTCATGAGGCGGGGAGGTTGACGTCCCTTTGCGCAGGGTTCCTGACGCGGGGGGAGCGGCGGCGGCTCGAGGGGCTCCGCTCCCCCCACAACCAGTTCTGGGTCCCCTGTGTCTGGTTCACGGCTCTGGCAGCGCAGGCGCGGCGCGAGGGGCGGGTGCGCGATGACAGCGCACTGAAGCTCCTCATGGAGGTACTCCAGAGACCCCTCAGGGACCCTTTGAACCCCACCCAGCACCCCCAAACACTCCTGTGTTTGTCCACCCCCCGCAGGAGCTGAACCGCTTCCGGGGGCACTGCAGCCTCCTCTTCCACTACGACTGGATCAGCGTTCCACTGGTGTACACCCAGGTGGGCACTGGGAGCACTGGGAAGCAATGGGGACATGGTGGGGGGGAAGCTGGATGGGGACCTGGTTGTGAAAGGGCATGATAGGACATGGGGAGACATAGACAGGGATTGGGGGATGTGGAGAGGACCCGAAAGGGATGGAGGGACATGGACCAGGGGACATGGGGGTACTGCCAAGGGATGAGGGGACATGAAAAGGTGGGGGGGGCATGTCGGGGTGTAGGAGGACAAGAATGGTGGAAAACGGGTGACCTGGAGGGATACAGATGACGATGGAAGGACATGGGAGTACATTGACAGGGACGGAGGGACATGGAAAACAGGCAGGGATGGAAGGATGTGAGGGGACATGGAGGGGACTGTCCCCTGCTGCAGGTGGTGACAATTGCCGTCTACACCTTCTTCGTGACGTGCCTCATCGGGCGGCAGTTCCTGGACCCAGCCCAGGGCTATGCAGGGCATGAGCTGGACCTGGGGGTCCCCATCTTCACCCTCCTCCAGTTCTTCTTCTACGTGGGGTGGCTCAAGGTGGGACTGGTGGGGAGATGACACATGGTGGCCTCAGGGAACACAACGGTGGCCTTGGGGGACACAACGGTGGCCTCAGGGGACACAGTGGCCTCATTGCAGGTGGCTGAGCAACTCATCAACCCCTTTGGGGAGGACGACGATGACTTTGAGACCAACACACTCATTGACCGCAACTTCCAGGTATCCCCATCCCACTCCCACTGGGAACTGGGTGTCCAGGATAGGGCCCAGGTGCGAGGATGGGACCCAAGTCCGTGCTGCAGGTCTCCATGCTGGCGGTGGATGAGCTGTACGGGGAGGTGCCGGTGCTGGAGCGAGACCGGTACTGGGATGCCACCAGCCCGCGGGTGCCATACACGGCTGCAGCTGCGCCTCTGCGCCAGCCGCCGTTCCGCGGCTCTGCCTGTGACATAACGTATGTGGGGACGGGACCCCCCAACTCCCCCCCCCTCCTCAATGAGACTCTCTGGGGTACCCCCACACCTCTGGAGTTCCTTCAGCCACCCCAGAATGTCCCCAGTGTCCCCCAACCCTGCCGAGACCTCCCAGCTCCCACCAGGGACCCCAAGATGCTCCCAGGGACCCTTGAAAGCCATTCCTGGGGAATGGAGGTGTCCTTGATGGGGGGGTGCCAGAGGTGACTCTGGGGTGGTTTTGGGGTGACCTCGATGTCCTGCAGGTTGGCCAAGGAGGAGATGCAGTTCCTGCCACTGGAGGATATTGGGGAGACCCCCGAGTCCCAGCTGGGGAATGGGGACAGCCCAAGGGGAGACAAAGCCACCCTGAGGGACATGCCAGGGGGGGACAGTGCCCCTCACGATCACTGGCTCCTTCACCCCAGTGCTGACGACATGGTTTAAAGTGGGGGGAGAATACCCAAAACACACCCTTCCAGCATAGCTCAGCCCTATACGAGCCCCCCAAGAATGTCTGCTGGGAATGAATCTCCACCTCTATGTCCTGTGGCTTTATTGAAATGGGTTTGGGGCACAACAGGACCCCTCCTCCAGCCCCATAGAAAAGGGGTACAAAATGTGAAATGCTAAAAGCCCCCCACAAAGAGGGGTGCAGGATCTGTGCCCCCCCCCCCCCCAGCCTGTAATGTCTAAAATGGGACCAGCCCAGAGCAAAGAGGAAGCCCCAAAGTCAGCAGCTGGGGACACCCAAAGCCCCATCAGTGGTTGGAGGGCGGCTGTGGGTGGTCCCAAAACCCACAAGGGCCATAGGGAACCCCAGCATCATGGCCCAAACCTCCCAGTTCCAGTCACCCCACCAACAGCCCCCATTTACAGCCCCCCCCCAAATACCAACCCCTTCCTGGGGGTATCTTCACCTTCCCCGTGATATCTGTCCTCCAAGGGGTCCCCATGCTCCCCATAGGGTATGTGTGCCCCCCTGAAGCCTTTGCCCCTTGGCCAGGATGGGGGTCCCCATGGTTGGGAACGCGGGATGGGGCTTGGGAACAAGAAGGTGGTAGTTGGGACCGCATCCCCCGCCCCTGAAGCTGGAGTCACCATCTTCCTCCCTCCCATTCCAATGGAATTTATTGGCTGTTGCTGTATACCCTGGGAATTGCCAAAAGGGGACCTGGGTGCCCCCCTCCCCCCTGCAGCAACCCACTGGCACCAAAATGCTTCAAACTCCCCCAAACAGTGTGACGATGGGGAGGGGGGGAACACAGCAGGGATGGACAGACACAAAAAGAGACCCCCAACCATCCGTCTCATTGGGAATGCCAGGGGGATCCATCCCATTGGGGATGCTGAGGCTAAGGGGGGACGGATGTTCCCGGTTACGGCTGTGTGAGCTGGATGCCATAGACCTCAGCTTGGCCACAGTGCTGCCGGTGCAGGCAAGCGGCTTCCAACGAGCCCTCGGCGTCCCGCACGTTGTATTCCCCCTTCTTGCATGCCGTTGATTTGAGGTAATAACCCCCGGCAGCCGCCAAACCCACCGCGGTAACGGCTCCCACTGAGCCCAGTGACGCCACCAGCACCAACTGGCTCTCTAACGGGAGGGCAAAGCGTCGGTGGCACCTCAGTGGCGGTGTCACCCCTTTGTTTCCCTGTAGCCCCCAACTCACCGTCCACCTGCACCAGGATGCTGCCGGCCTGCCAGCCGTGCCGATTGCTTGCGGTGCAAGTATAAAGCCCCCTGTTAGCAGCGGCGGCCCCGGCGACAGCGACGCTGTGGTTACCAGCGCCAAAGCGGAGGTTGGGAGCGGGCGGCAGCACCCAGCCATAGGTGGGGGGGGGCAGCCCCTCGGCGTGACATTCCACGCTGAAGCTGGTGCCGCGGGAGACGGTGGCCGAGGGCAGGATGCGCAGGGTGACAGTGCCTGGGCTGTCTGCACCGGGGGGGGGGCACCGGCCCTCACCCAAAGCACAGCCCCAGAGGCAAAAAACACCCCCAGAAAGCCACTTTTTTGCACAACCACCCACCCCCCCTCCCCCACGCCTGGGTCCCTCCATTGACACCCAGGTCCCTCCCTGGACCCCCAGGTTCCTCCCTGACACCCCTTGGGTCACCCCATCCTTGACTCACACTCGACAGTGATGGTGATGTTGCGCAGCGCTGTGCCATGGCTGTTGGTGGCCTGACACTGGTAGGTGCCAGCATGGGCGCGGGTGACATTGGTGCTCATTGCCACGGGGTGGTGGCCGTCCCCAAGCTTGGTGCAGGTGACGTGGGGCTGGGGGTTGCCAGTGGCTGCACAGACCAGCTCCGCTGACGTCCCCTCAACCCAGAGCCTCTGTGCTGGGCACCCGAGCTCTGCCATGCTTGGCTCATCTGCAGGGACATGGTGGCCAAGGGGATGGGTGCTGAGTGATGATGAGTGCTGGGGCTGGGTATTGGATGATGAGACTGGGTGATGAGTGCTGGGGCTGGGTATTGGATGATGGGACTGGGTGATGATGGGTGCAGGGACTGGGTTATGATGGGTGCTGGAGCTTTGTGATGCTTAAGGGGTGCAGGAATAATGACATTTCCAGCATAGCCACATCCCCAGCCTGGCTTCAGCATCCCCATCACTGGCACCACTGGCTCCTGTCCCCTCTGGCACTCACACTCCACTGTCACCACCACGCTGCGCACTGCAGTGCCATGCTTGTTGGTGGCCCGGCAGATGTAGCGCCCGGCATCGGCGCGGTGAACCACCCGGTGCATTCCCGACCTGCCCATGGTGCCACCGTCGCGGGCGCAGCGGGTGCTGGGTGGCGGGTCCCCATCGGCGCGACATGACAGCTCCCGCCGCTCGCCCTCCACCCAGACCCGGTGCGTGGGGCAGCCCCTCTCCGTCAGCGTGGGCTCATCTTGGGGAGGGGGCAAACAGGGCTCGTGGTTAGCGCCGGTGCTGCTGGTGCCACCGCAGCGCAGGGTACCGGTGCCACTCACACTCCACGCGGACAGTGACGAGCTGGCTCTCTGTCCCCAAGCTGTTGGTGGCATTGCATAGGTAGGTGCCGGCTCGGGAGCGGGTGACCAGCTCTGGGACCCTGGTGCTGACAGTGATGCCGTTCCGGCCACACACTACAGTGGGCACAGGGTTGCCAGTGGCGTGGCAGGAAAGAGCTTCCCATGTCCCTCGCAGCCATGTCCGGTTCCCAGGACAGTCACTCGCTGCCAGCTCAGGCATATCTGGAAAAGACGTTGGGATGTGGCAATGGGAGAGGCTGGAAAAGAAGCCTGGCTCAAACACTGTTAAACTGAGTTAATTTCAACCAAGTGACCGATCCATTGACTCCACCCAGGTCAAGACAATCAGGAATGCAGGGAGCAGCCATCGGCAGAGCAGCACTCACAGAGCACGGAGAGCTGGGTGTCCACGTCCTTTGTCACCATGGTGTCATTGACGTCCAGGCTGGCCCGGCACCTGAATCGCCGCCCGTTGTCTTCACGGCTGGCCACCAGCGGCAGCTCCAGCTGGGAATGTGGCCCCTCAGCCAGGATCCCGCTGTCAGCATCACGGAGCTGTAGCCACAGTGCCGGGGGCTCGGCAGCACTAATATGGCACCTCACCAGCACCTCGCTGCCCGCTGGAGCTGATGCTGGGCTCAGCTCTAGGACAGGTGCTGGGAAGCCTGTGGGAAAGGTGCTGGTGGTCCAATGGGATTTCGGGATGGGCTCCTATTACCCCCTCACCCGGTGCCTTACGGTAGACATGGAGCTGCCTCTGTGCAGTACGTGCAGCTGTGCCCACTGCGGCGGTGCAGATCAGCTCCTGCGGTCCCACGGTGCTGGGTGCCAGCATGGTGACACTGGTCAGCACGTCCCCGGCCACCGTCGTAGTGAAGTTCAGGCTCTGCCCGGCCAGTGTGAGGGTGAAGCGGACATCGCCAGCGGGGAAGGCGCCGGTGAGCTGGCAGGTGGCGGTGCTGGTGGTGCCGAGCTCCAGGCGGGATGGAGCCTGGAGCTGCGGTGGCTCTGGGAGAGCTGCAGGGACGTGGCATCACCAGGATCATGGATCCCAATGGCCGGACACTCACCGGGTGCCGGTGAGGACATGGAGTTGCTGGAAGTGATTCCAGCATGGCCGTGGCCACTGGGTGAAGGCAGGGAGAGATTCAGGAATGGGAAAGGGATTAGAGTTCTGGAGCTAAGCTGGGCAGTCCCAGAGAGACTGGGATGGGACTGGATGGGAACAGATGGAGATGGGAATGGGGACTGGGATGGGAATTGGACTAGGATGGGATTGGGGAGGGGATGGGAAAAGGACTTGGATGGGGTTGGGGAGGGGATAGGAAGAAGACTGGGATGGAGATGGGAAGGGGATGGAGACTGGGGTGGGGATTGGTATGGCACAAAGACGGGAATTGGGGACAGGAATAGGATTGGCATGGGATTAGGATGGAAATGGAGATGAGACTAGGATGGGAGGAGGAACGAGGATAGAGATACGATAGAGAAGAAGACTGAGATGCGGATGGTAACAGGGACATGGAAATGGGATTGGGATGGAGATCAGATGAGGACTGGGATGAGACAGGATGGGGACAGGGCCATGGTGGTGCTGAGCTGCTCCAACCCTTTCCCCTGGCTGGGTCCATGGGCACCAGCACCAGAACTCACCGAACACTGAGAGCCTGATGGGGGTGGCGGCGCGGGCGAAGAGGGGCCCATGTGGCCGCAGAGACAGCTCAGCATGGCAGGTGACATCCTGCCCGTGGTCCCCGGGCCCGGCGCTTAGCACATGGGTGACAGCCACGCTGGTGCTGCCATTCACAGCACCAAAACTCGCTGTCCGCAACGTTTCAGCCCCTCGGCGCAATGTCACTGTCAAGTTGCCCACTGGAGCCACCTCCAGCACATGGCACGTGAGGTTCCTGCTCTCACCCACCGCCAAAGCTGGCACAGGTTCCAGCACCACCCGCTCCGGTAGCCCTGAGATGTGGTGACACCAAACTATCAACCACAGCCCCCCCTATCAGCACCACCCTCTTTCCCCCTCATCCTGGTACTCACGGTACACAAGGACCCCGGCGCTGGCATTGACTTGGGTGTCACCACAGTGCCCATAGCATGTGGCGGTGCTGGGGTTCCACTGGGACACGTTGAGGAGCCAGAAGCTTTGCCACCGGTGCCCACCGGCTCCCAGAGCCATGGGTAAGGGGGTGTCCAGCCCCAATGTGGCGTTGCCCCCCGGGCAAGCGCTGCGGCTGCAGTTGATGGCCACCGAGCCCCCAAAGGGAACCACGGCCACCCGCGGCCAGGCCCTCACTGTGAACGCACTGCAGGCAGCCCCTGCAAGAGCCCCCACCAGGGGACACCCCCTGACGGCTCATCCCTGGCACCCCGTGGCTGAGGACTCTGCTTGTGAGCCCCTCCTCCCCGAAATAGGGTCTCCTGGGGATCCATCCCCCAACATTAAGGGTCCCTAGAGGCCCCCCAAAAACAGGCACCCAGTGTCTGAGGTCCTAGGGGTCCCTCCTGTGTCCCCCATGATACATGT